CTCCTAGCAGGGTGCTGACTCTTGACTGTACGGACGGCCGGCCCTGGGCAGGGTGTGTGGCGCTTGGCAGGGCGTTCAACTCATGGCAGGGTCTGTGATTCATGGCAGGGCGGGTGTTTCATGACTCTTGGCGACTATTGGCAAGAAGGATGACTCCTAACAGGAAGGGGGGCTCTTGCTAAGGTGGGTGTTTCTTTGCAGGGTGGGTGACTCTTGACAGATTGGGCGGCTTCGCTGCTATATTTGGCTGTTAATTCCCATTTCGCATCTTCCCATTCGGCACTTCTCTCTTTTTCCCTTTTCATTTCGCCCCTTATTCCCACTTCCCCTATCCTAGTTACCTCCTTTTTGCAAATTGTCCCTTTCTCATTTTTCAGAAAAGGGAATAATGTAGGGGCAAATATGGAAGGGGGGAAGGGGCAGAATGGGAAGGGGCAGAATGGGAAGGGGCAGAATGGGAAGACACCATGGCCATCATTAACCTACTGTTGATAATTATTTAAACGTTATTTAGTTTTAAAGTCTTAAGGATATTGACCAATGCAAAAATGAAATAAAAACTTGCAGCCTTGTGAGTGTTAAATAGGTTAGAATGGAAGTCAATTTAACTAATACATATTAGTTTTAACAATGTGGTCTGTAGTCTTGAAAACAGTAGTTACATACCGTTAGTCATGATTGATTCTTATTTTACATATACTGCTAGCCAGGCCAGGTAACAAGTGACAAGATAGCTTGTTGGGCAAGGTAACAAGTGACAAGATAGCTTGTTGGGCAAGGTAACAAGTGACAAGATAGCTTGTTGGGCAAGGTAACAAGTGAAAAGATAGCTTGTCAGACAAGGTTACAAGTGAAAAGATAGCTTGTCAGACAAGGTTTCAAGTGAAAAGATAGCTTGTCAGCCACGGTAACAAATGAAAAGATAGCTTGTCAGACAAGGTTACAAGTGAAAAGATAGCTTGTCAGACAAGGTTACAAGTGAAAAGATAGCTTGTCAGACAAGGTTACAAGTGAAAAGATAGCTTGTTGGGCAAGGTTACAAGTGAAAAGATAGCTTGTTGGGCAAGGTAACAAGTGAAAAGATAGCTTGTCGGGCAAGGTAACAAGTGAAAAGATAGCTTGTCAGACAAGGTAACAAGTGAAAAGATAGCTTGTTGGGCAAGGTAACAAGTGACAAGATAGCTTGTTGGGCAAGGTAACAAGTGAAAAGATAGCTTGTCAAACAAGGTTACAAGTGAAAAGATAGCTTGTTGGGCAAGGATACAAGTGAAGAGATAGCTTGTCAGGCAAGGTTACAAGTGAAAGGATAGCTTGTCAGGCAAGGTAACAAGTGAAAAGATAGCTCGTCAAACAAGGTTACAAGTGAAAAGATACCTTGTCAGACAAGGTTTCAAGTGGAAAGATAGCTTGTCAGACAAGGTAACAAGTGAAACAGATAGCTTGTCAGACAAGGTAACAAGTGACAAGATAGCTTGTTGGGCAAGGTAACAAGTGAAAAGATAGCTTGTCAGACAAGGTAACCAGTGAAAAGATAGCTTTCTAGGAAAGGCAACAACTGAAAAGATAGCTTGTCAGGCAAGGTAACAAGTGAAAAGATAGCTTGTCAGGCAAGGTTACAAGTGAAAAGACGGCCAGAAAATGAATAGTCAAAAAGTTGTGGGAATTTTGCTGTGTTTACTTTTGTTGAACACAAGTACAGGTAAATATTAAATAAAATATATAAAAATTTAATCTTTCTCTAGCCAAGAAAATATTCATTAAGAGACTACGTTTAGTTCATGTAATTATGAACACGATATAAATCTATTGTAAACGGAACACAATTTTATGGTATATTACATCTTCACAATGTGAAGCTATAACGAATTTTTTCTTATACCTTGACTACAATAGTCACCATCCATGTATCACGGAATTCAGTTATATGAATGGATGTACGTTTTCGAACACAGCCAATCAGAGCCCCAGACAATTTCAACAATTTACGTTGTCATCATTAGGTGAAAATTAATATAAATAAATAGTTTGACGTATCTAATTTCAATTTCAGTGGACTTAACTGAACATCACAACATCCCAATTTGATTGGTTAAAGCAGGCATCATTATTGACCAAATTACTTTATCTTATCTTTAATTATTTTAGTTACCTGTATTACATTTGGTGACGTAGTAGTCGGTGCTCTCACTGGTGGTGCAGTTATTGTGGGCGGTCCATTGGTTCTAGGGGCTGTTGGTTTTACTGGTGCAGGAATAACAGCTGGAAGTGTAGCGGCCGGTATGATGTCGACGGCAGCTGTAGCTAACGGTGGTGCGGTAACCGCAGGGAGCACGGTAGCTGTTCTTCAATCTGTTGGTGCAGCGGGATTAGCAGCTGGAACTAAAGCAGCAATAGTTGCTGGAACAGCTGCCAATGACGAATGTTGAAAAGTTTTGTTATTCTTATTAATTTTTTCCTCTGTATTTCGATGTGGTCCTTGTATTCCGAAACTTTAACGATATTAAAGTACATGTAGTCTGAAACTTTCTGACTCTGATATTATACTAGTCTGAAACTATCTGACTCTTACCCAGTCTCTGATAAATATTATACTAGTCTGAAACTAACTGACTCTTACCTAGTCTCTGATAGATATTATACTAGTCTGAAACTAGCTGACTCTTACCTAGTCTCTGATAGTTATTATATTAGTCTGAAACTAGCTGACTCTTACCTAGTCTCTAATAGTTATTATACTAGCCTGAAACTAGCTGACTCTTATCTAGTCTCTGATAGATATTATACTAGTCTGAAACTAATTGTCTCTTACCTAGTCTCTGATACTTATTATACTAGCCCGAAACTAGCTGACTCTTACCTTGTCTCTGATAGATATTATACTAGTCTGAAACTAGTTGACTCTTACCTAGTCTCTGATAGTTATTATACTAGCCCGAAACTAGCTGACTCTTACCTTGTCTCTGATAGATATTATACTAGCCTGAAACTAGTTGACTCTTACCTAGTCTCTGATAGATATTATACTAGTCTAAACTAACTGACTCTTACCTAGTCTCTGATAAATATTGTACTAGTCTGAAACTAGCTGACTCTTACCTAGTCTCTGATAGATATTATACTAGTCTGAAACTTGCTGACTCTTACCTAGTCTCTGATAGTTATTATACTAGTCTGGAACTAGCTGACTCTTACCTAGTCTCTGATAGATATTAAACTAGTCTGAAACTAGCTGACTCTTACCTAGTCTATGATAGTTATTATACTAGTCTGAAACTAGCTGACTCTTACCTAGTCTCTAACAGATATTAAACTAGTCTGAAACTAGCTGACTCTTACCTAGTCTCGGATAGTTAGTTAGTTATAATCTAAAATCAGATCTACATTCAAGGTAGATAACAGATAAACTTGTTATCTCTAACATCAGATCTATATTCAAGGTAGATAACAGATAAACTTGTTATCTCTAAAATCAGATCTATATTCAAGGTAGATAACAGATAAACTTGTTATCTCTAAAATCTGATCTATATTCAAGGTAGGTAACAGATAAACTTGTTATCTCTAAAATCAGATCTATATTCAAGGTAGATAACAGATAAACTTGTTATGTCTAAAATCAGATCTATATTCAAGGTAGATAACAGATAAACTTGTTATCTCTAAAATCAGATCTATATTCAAGGTAGGTAACAGATAAACTTGTTATGTCTAAAATCAGATCTATATTCAAGGTAGATAACAGATAAACTTGTTATCACTAAAATCAGATCTATATTCAAGGTAGGTAACAGATAAACTTGTTATCTCTAATATCAGATCTATATTCAAGGTAGGTAACAGATAAACTTGTTATCTCTAAAATCAGATCTATATTCAAGGTTGATAACAGATAGACTTGTTATCTCTAAAATCAGATCTATATTCAAGGTAGGTAACAGATAAACTTGTTATCTCTAAAATCAAATCTATATTCAAGGTAGATAACAGATAAACTTGTTATCTCTAAAATCAGATCTATATTCAAGGTAGGTAACAGATAAACTTGTTATCTCTAAAATCAGATCTATATTCAAGGTAGGTAACAGATAAACTTGTTATCTCTAAAATTAGATCTATATTCAAGGTAGGTAACAGATAAACTTGTTATCTCTAAAATCAGATCCATATTCAAGGTAGATAACATATAAACTTGTTATCTCTAAAATCAGATCTACATCCAATGTAGATAACAGAAAAACTTGTTATATCTAAAATCAGATCTACATTCAAGATAGGTAACAGATAAACTTGTTATCTCTAAAATCAGATCTATATTCAAGGTAGGTAACACATAAACTTGTTATCTCTAAAATCAGATCTATAGTCAAGGTGGGTAACAGATAAACTTGTTATCTCTAATATCAGATCTATAGTCAAGGTAGATAACAGATAAACTTGTTATCTCTAAAATCAGATCTATATTCAAGGTAGGTAACACATAAACTTGTTATCTCTAAAATCAGATCTATAGTCAAGGTAGGTAACAGATAAACTTGTTATCTCTAAAATCAGATCTACATTCAAGATAGGTAACAGATAAACTTGTTATCTCTAAAATCAGATCTATATTCAAGGTAGGTAACACATAAACTTGTTATCTCTAAAATCAGATCTATAGTCAAGGTGGGTAACAGATAAACTTGTTATCTCTAATATCAGATCAT